TCCATTCCTAGGAGATCACCATTCCATGCTCGGGTTAACATTGGCCAGAATGTCACCAAGGCACTGACACCAAAGATGATCTAACAGAAATTTCATATGAGCTACAGAATGATAGAACATTGTAAGTAAAATATGAAAAAGTCTTGTGCAAGAAGATCTTAATACATTCCCTGTCTAATACTGCAAACAGCAAACACCAGGAGAAAGGCAGAAACTTTGCTCCCTGGGATGGTTTGTGCTTGTTTCCTATCTAAAATATTAGATTTTCCTCCTCAAGGTCATTGCTAGAGAATTTTTTTCCTCTGCAGTGAAACATCAGAATACTTCTGTTTAAGAGCTGACTGGATTATGTGCATTAGTTTATCGCCATCACATTCATAAATCTTACTGCAATGTCATTAGAATAAGATGTTCTGATTGTGTGTTATTAAAGCAGATGCTTCCATCTGCACTGTACTGTGGAATAAAATTATGATTCACTATATTCAAGAGACATTGGATATGTTCCCCTGTCCAACTAAGACTTCTGAAGTAAACTTTGGGTCAAAAATAGGGCAAACTGGAAACAAAATTACTTTTTTGTATGAGCAGTAGAGACAGAAATAAGAAGGCAATCCCCAGCTAAGTCACCTCTGAATGGGGAGACCAACCAAACCTGTTTCCAGAAGAAGATAAAGGAAAACAGCAGTTCCCATACTGTAAGTGCTGGAAATCCAGATTAGAATGCAACAGCTTAGATTTATCTTTAGTAATTACTTTAACTGGCACACAATCTGTTGATCTTAAAGAGTATGAGGACCTAACCAACAAGTGAATCATTCTCTATGAATATTCATTCACGTTCTGTTGCTCTAATGAAAACAAGATGCACAGTCAGCAGAGGCAGGCTTTGGACCTCTGTCTTCCATCAGTGTGAACTGACTTTGGTCATTCAGCCTTATTTCACCCCTCTACTTTAATTCAAGATTTTGCTGAAGGACAATCAGGCCTGCTGATCTGTTCTCTCCAAATTCATATCTGCTTCAGGAAACCATCATCAACTTAGTACCAGTATCTTTGGTGATACGCAAAAGACTTCCCATACAATCGCCAGTTCACACTCTGCCATTTTTGGAAGTCATATACATCTTTTAGCATTCAAGGAATGCTGTCTGCCACATACTATCTGGTCACCATCAGCTTTCTTATCTTCCCCCCCCCCCAAAAAAAAATGCTCTGGTTTTCCCTGTATTCAGTTTTCAACTTTTATCTTCAGTTACTTCAGGTTTTACCCGGAAAACTCAGCTAAACGGACAAACACACATTTTTATGTGGACATGAAATAAATATAAGATTATATTTTATGCATCACATACACACAAAGTTGAGAAAGCCACTAATGGTTACCCATTTGTTTGGTGGTAATCTGACAGAGAAATAATGTCCTGTCTTATGGATGCGAAGATAAATTTTCCTTTTTGATCAGTATGAAAATATACAGCTTTTTGCCCTCAGCAACTCTGGGTCACAGGTCTTCCAGAAATACTAGTAAGCTACAGAATATTCATAAAAATCTTGCTTTACAGGTTATCAAATTAGAGTTTAAAATCCAGGTCGTGCTTACAGTCCTTTAAATGCCTACATTGTAACTTGGTAGCTGCACAGTATAAACACAAATTGACCTAAACTGGCAACAGTGCCATCAGGGTTTACTTTTTATATTTATTTCAGAAAGAAATTATCTTTGTAATTTAACTTTGTTGTCTACATCAATGAATTGCCAAATAAGAGCTATTGGGAAATGGTTTTATAGTAAATAAACACATGAAGATGCAAGGAAACAAAAGTAATGTTGAAGGTCACAGAGACTTGAAATAAAAACATCATGCTAAAACTTATAGGCAGAGGCATCTAGCTAAAAAAAAAAAAAAATAAAAAGCACCTTTATTTTGTTGCTTAATGTGCATCTATTTAGAAGAGAGCTATGTAAAAACTGTAAAGGTGTGACAGGAAGAAATTCAAGCTGTCACAGTTTATCAAAGACATGTTATCACCTCAGAGCTGGTGCTTAGACAAAGATAAAGGAGAGATTGTCCAAGGGTGGGAGTCTCAGTTTCTTCATATCTACAGAGTAGTAGGTGAGTTGATGGCACTGAACAGACAAAAGCAAACTGGGGAAAATTTAGAGAACTTAAAATAATTCATGGCTCAAACTTTCTTAGTTTGAGTCAAGTTACTGAAGCAAAGTTATTTCATAGCCATGAACTGAAGTCTGGTAAGTGATCAAGTGTGCCTCCAGTGTGCCTCCAGGGGCAGCCACTGCTGCTAAACTTTATTCAGCAGCTTAGGAAAATTTCAAGATCATACCTTAAGAAGTTGAAAGGATCTCTGACAATGAAGTGGCAAATAGACAATAAACATCTCCAAAGACTGAATGATGCCATTTGACTGACAGAAAAGTGACTTCTGAAGGTTCTAGTCTACTGCCCTAAACGATGGCATCTGTTGTATTACTATTTCTACACTACTGAATATTTCTGGAAAACACAAAAAAGCCTTTCTTTGCACAGCTTGTTCAATGCTGACATGTTTGCACCTATACTGAGTGATCATTATCACAAAACACATTTCCTTATCCATAATTCTCTGCTTTGATAAACACTAAATCATTATATTATAGACTTCTAAAGCAAGGAGATGGTTTCATCCTATTCCTGTATCTTTTTTTGGGGGAGGGGAACTGGAGGACGGTGGATTTTTTGCTAATAAGCAAAACCCCACTGAGGCTCTGTTTTACCTACATGAGGTAATCTTTTGCTAATCTCACCAGGTCAAGGTTGTTTGAGCTTAAACAAATCCTTAGCTGTGGGGAAAATGAGCTAAGTTTCTGGTCTGCCTCTGAGTAGCCTAATAAGAGTGAAAGCAGTGTGTAAGTGCTTTATAAGGTTTTGTGGGAGTTTGTTTGTTTTGAAGAGAGAGACCAGAAAGAGGCAAACAGGAAACAAGTTAGGTAAACGAGGGCTAGAAGCAGGGCTGCACATGGAAAAACAAAGAGGTGGCTCAGTAACTTCTGTTCTGTTTCATTTTCCCATCTTTTGCACTCAGAGGACATTGTCCCCCTGCCATTCCTGCCTGTTTGCTGACCCTATCAAAGTGTTCAGGGGAGGTGATTCTCAAGGTCTCCACTTACTCTCTTCCATCTGTTCTCTTCCCATTCTCCATTCAAACACACTCTTCCACATGAGGTCACATTATGCTGCCTTAGAGCCTGAACAGTCAGTCCAGAGAAACCAAGAGACTCAGTGTAACAGGCATGACAGGAAACTGGGAGAATTGATTCAAGAGCCCAGAAAGCACTTCTCTAGTCCATGCCTACATCAATACATTCTCCCTTTGTTTACATACACACCCACCCTGATCACTTGTCCACACTGCTGGTCCCACGTGAAGACAGATGAAGTGACATCGGATACAGTAGGGGAGAGGGGAGGATAGTGCTTATTATCTCATCTTATTTCTTTCCTATTTCCTTCCTGTCCTCCCTGCTTATAGCTGAGTCCTCACATGGATAGGGTTGCTGGAGTGAAATCAAGATGGTAGCAGCAGTGCCCTCTGCCATCATTCCTCTAATTCCTCTACTTTCTGGGACAGCAGATGAAAGCAGCAAGGGAACATGGAATCAGGGAACAATGCTCCCAGCCCAATTCCTACCACACTTCAGTCACACAGATTAAGAAGTTTCTGCCCCCTCCCTTTAATTTGGGCCTTCCATAGGGCAGAGTCCCAGATGAATGACAGATAAACTGCTATATGTTTTGCCAAGACACTTGATTACTAGCTGGCTTAGGTAAATAAAGCATTTAAGTTTTCTAAAGTGATGCTAAGATTAGTTTGAAACTGTTACAGGTGTGTCATATGTCTCTACAGCAGATACATCAGCAGTCAGTGGTAAGACTAGTCTTGAACTATCCCTCAGCTCAAGTCTTGTTACTGGGGACTTGAAATTATTTTATATATTACAAATTACATTTTTTTTACATATTATTTTTCCTCACATTCTGGTACCAAGCTATACTTGTCCTCAAGATGAAGCTAAGGTTCTTTTGAGTTCTACCTCTGCTCTAATTGACACTGGGTTTCCTTCAGGTTCAAGAGGCCCTTATAATTGCTCCCAGCTGGAACTATGAGCAAGTGGGCAGAAAATCCATATCATTTAAATCCAATACATATTTACTTGGTTTGTCCCAATTTGTCCTTTCACTCTCCTAGTACACTTAGTTCTACTCCCAACATTTCCCCATTAGGAAGACAGAAGGGAGCATAAAGATTCATTGGTTTTAGACAAATTCATACAGCAGACCCAAGCAAAAATCAGGAACACAAGCAAAGAAAATCAATAAACTTGGAAAGCTGAAATTCTGCTTTCTTTACTCTCCCATCTACTCTTTCCACATTTCCATACAAGTTTCAGAATGAAGTCCTTCATGCACCTCGTCACATATTCCTGCTTAAAAAACCCCCAAAACAACAAGAAACAACAGCAAAGAGCTCCTCAGTATCCCCCCTCCTGCCAAAACCTTAAAATTAAAAATCTGAAATTGCAAAGGACCTTGATTACTGTGGAAATACAATGTGTCCTACACGCAAATCTTCAAAAGCACATGTTGCACTGCACTTATGTACAGTGCAGTTACTGACATACCAAATTGTTACTTAGCATCCTATTCTGCCCCATGCAAAACTGAACAACTGATGATACACAAATGGGTGTAATTCCTTATCCTTCTTGCAAATGTTTAAGGGGGAGGTATTTTCATCATAGCAGCATGATAACATGAGTGCTGGCCGATGGAACGGGAGATCCCCTGACATCTCCTCACACTCCTACCTCCCTTATCTCTGCACTGCTAAAACACCCACTAAAGTTTAAAACAGCCCCTTTCATCTTCCAGCTGTTCTTTTCCGAATATCCTTTGAATGATCTTATTTCCCCACTGCGACGACCCAGATGACCCACATACCTCTTTTTTTTTTTTCCCAGTCAATTCTCAAACACAGACTGGGGGCGGCGGGGGCGGTGAACACCTCGCTTCCACTTCAGAGAACTTGGCCGCAGCTGGATGCCATTACCGACAGCACCGAACCGACCGTTCCATGCCAGCAGAGCGGTGTATTTACTGAACCGCCAGCCCAACTCGAGTTTCGGAGCTGCGAGGATAAATATTTAACTTACAGGAGCCGCGGCTGTTTAAAAACCCCTCCAGGCGGTGGGGAGCGCTGAACTCCCGCGGCAGGGCAGAGGAGGGAGAAGCAACAGGTCCGGTCCCCCCGTTTACACACCGACCAAAGCGCCCCGCTGACCTGCTCCTGCTCCCGCTCCCGCTCCTGCCCGACGGTGCCTCCGCCGCCTCCGCAGCGCCGCGCCGGGACCGCCGGGATAGCTGGGACAGCCGGGATTGCCCGGGATCGCTCTCCACCGCCTCCTCGCGCCGGGGGACGCCCGGGGAGCGCCCGAATCCTCCCCCGCAACCCGTCCCGATCCTTCCCGACCCTGGTCCCGATCCCGACCCGGCTCCGCTCGGGGCCGCCCCCACGTGACAGCGCCCGGCGCTCCCGCCCCCCCTCGCGGGCAGGTGCTCCAGGGAATTTCTGCGCGGACCCAACCAAGGGTCTGGAAAATTTGCCATCAGTTTCTGAGTTTTATTCTTCGTGTCGTTATTGCTAGAAGAAGAGCTATTGGCTAAAACTACGTTTAGTTTATTAACTAAAACATTCTACCCGGCACTTCTTCCCGCATACCAGGGATTTTCTAGGTTAGCAAAAACATTATATTATTAACAGAGGAAAACAATACACTCTTTCTCCAGAGATTTAAAAATCAAGTATTTCTGTACTTAAAGCGCTTCTCATCTACTTTAATTCTACTAATAAAACAATAGCATGGGTCATTTATATTAGTAAAAGCGTTTCATATCATATTCCTGTTGACTCCTGTTTAAAAAACATTCTCTGGTGTTCTGTTTATGATGGCAAAAATCTCTAGTACAGGAAGTCTCCAAGGAAGCAAACATTAAACAAAAACTCACGTTCAAAATGTGTAGGATTTTCTTGCGCCTCTAGAGATTCCTGGATTACTTCTAGAAATGTGGAAAGTGCTGCAAGTTTTAGTCCTTGGGAGTTTGCTGGTCACTGAGTGCCTTACTGATCCAACATCTGATAAGGGTTTCTGGTGACCAAACAGGTCATCCCACCTGTGCAACACTGACACAGCTCTTTCACAGCATATGTGTGTGCCAAGTACTTCTGATGATGTCATTTTTCCAGTGAGTTGGCAAAACAAAATTAACCATTTAGCAGAAAGTGAGATAAAGAGTTAGGAGTCACATATACAATGTAATTAGCACACACTTTTCCTGTGTGGAGTGGCTGTGTTTAACAAGCACAGTTTGTTGTCTTCCTTCTATGATGATGCTTTCACCTAAATAGTCTAAGCATGTTTAGTATGCACGATGTTTTAATGTAATTTTGTCACTTATAACAACCTACCTGAATTTTAGAATCTCTTTTTGCCTGACATAAGCTTCCAGTGTATTTGGAATGTTGAAACATCTCGTTCCCTGTTACCAACTGATGCACTCTCTGACCTTGGAAGAATTATTTATTATTTCAGTTTTGTTTTAAACTTGCACGTAACACCAAAACTATGAATCACACACCAGATATTCCAGATAAGGAATTGGACCTCACGTACAGAGAAAACATGCCCAAGGTGTAAGAGGGAGAGAATGGGAAGTGAACGCCTTTGAAACATCTCTGAACATGCTGAAGAATAATTAAAAACTGGCAAGAATCCACGGGCTGCGTATTAACTCGGCTTTTGAATTTTTCTTGTCTTTCCTCCCAGCTTTGAGGTAGTCATCTTACATGGGTCTCGTAGAGGAGTGGTGCAAATTACAGTGGTTGATAACATTTGCATCTTTTGTAATACTGACACAAAAAATTATGTACCAAAAATGATATAGCACTGCTTGTTGCAATATCCTTAAACCGTTTAGGAAAGAGTCAGTGGAATTTAGAAAAATCTAGGTGAAGCTGAACAGCTTTTCAACACCAGTCTGGTTTCCCCTGCTTTTCCCCAGCTCACTGGAGGTCTAGGACAGGTGTCTGGGCAACTTTCCATGTGATAGAAGCAGTATCTGGGACATAATTTGCTCTGCTATGACCATGTAGGGTTGTTACCTCCTTTCTTGTTTATTCTTGACCTGGAATAGCCAAAACCCTGCTGGTACATGCTGTACCCCAGTGTTGGGTTGGGAAAAGCAGTGTCAGCCAGTGCACGGGAAGGCGAGCGTGGCCTTGCCCTGGTGCTGTGAAGGGGAAGGGCCTGGAACAGAGAGGCTCTGCAATTACTGCCACTCCCTTGGGAAGGACAGGCAGAAGCAGAGAGAGGCTGAACAGCACAAGGACAGAACACAAAACGCTGTCCTGCTGCTGCTGCAATGTTCACATACCATCATTTTACAGTTCTGTTTCTGCATTTCTTGACGTTATATTATTGCATCACTGGAAAGCAGAGAGAATCCTAATTTCGGGCTCCCTTAAGCTTTTTGTTCCTGTCTATCCTGTTTAATATCACTGTAAAAAGTTCATTAATTCTGCATCTCTCTCAGTGTGGCGGGTTTCAGAAGCACTCCCTCAGCTGTCCTGCCCTCTTGGCTAATTACCATTCCAGAAGTCCCCCCTTCAATAAGAGTGGTTTGTTTCTCTGCTGCAGTGGTGCAGACTCATGACTGTCACAAAGCTGGCATTGTGTTAAGTCTTTGCCTCTCTTATATAACAATGGAGTTTATTCAGTGAGAGCAGAATCATCCTTCTCGGAAAAGACCTAAGAAAAAAAAGAAGTTAGGAACCCCAAAAGAGGACGCTGCTGGACATTGCTTTATTGACCATCTTCATTTCTTCCATCTGAAAAAACGGTGCAAAGCTGTCTGTAAGATCCCACGTGTTGCTCTATAGCAGTTTATCTTAACTAGATATAAAGACCAGGGTTTATTTTTTGTTCTTAAAACTTACTGAGCAGAACTGTCTGAGTTTCTCTTCCTCAGTGTCACATTATGGTCACTCTGACAATGCTGGGAGACCCTGTGTTTCAGTTCAGGCCATATTCCTGATCCTGCAAGTGTGCCTGATTGGTGCTTAGGCTTATGCATTTGGTGGTTCTTTCCTAGTGCTGTTTGGTCCATTACTGGATTATGCAGAAAAGTGGCAAAATGGCTCATAATCCCTGAAGGGTAAGGGCCAAAACAGACACTTAGATGAGGGCTCTAAGTGACTGTGCTCCCTAGATAGAAACTTGTGGCTACAAGGCAGGAAAAAACATCTATGTTTTGATACATCAGTTTGCAGCATGTTCCAAATTGCTGGTTTATTTGCTGAAAGGTTTTTATAAAGCTTTAATTTCCCTGTTTATAAAACAGAGTAAATTAACTGCAACTAATGTAGTCTAAATTCAGTCCCAACCACTCTGATATTTTACTATCAATTCATTCAAAAATTCTCATAAGAGATACCTGAGACCTCATGCCCTTCTTTATCAAAAGCTTTGTTTCAAAAAGACTACAGCAAAGATTAGTCAGAGTATGGTTTCATTGCTTTCCTCAAATCACAGTCCTCATAGTATGTACAGGCTTTGAAACATCAGCCTTAGAACAATGAATAAATACTGTGATGCAGGACTGTGAAAGCTGCAGTACTGTGTGATCTCTTGTTTGTGGAAAAAAAAGCAATCCACTTAAATGCTCAGAGATTGCTTATCATGTAAACGTGGTTAAATCAGCTGTAGATAGGAAATAATGTATTGAAGAATCCTTCCCCATTAACTCAGTACAGCTAATCCATTATGTCTCATTAGAAAGCATAGCCTGCCTTATCTTTAATAGAGATTTGTGGCCAGTCATGTCACCAGTTTCCTCTGGTAAGGTGCACAACCTTCTCTCGCCCTTCAAAACTTTTTCTAGCATATGTGGTGTGCTCTTTTTTCAGTGGTTTTTTTTTTTGTGTTATTTTTTTCCCCCACCTGTTGTTATTTGGTAGAGTTCACTTGAAATATTCAAGATGAGAGTTTAAATAAAGAAATTTGACCTCTACATAAAATTGCAATTGAAATTTTCTTGAAATCTTGTTGGATAGCTACAGCTGCTTGATACCAAAACAGAACTTACTACTTTTTCTTTTCCTCTGTCACCGTTTAGAGCATTATCTGTTCTGCAACAGAACACATGATATAAAAGTCTTCTTTTCAGGTATTTCTTACTAGGACAGATGAAATACACTTAAAAAAAATCCTTAATATATAGATAGTTTTGTTAGAGCGCGCTATATTTGTTGAGCAGTTTCGTTTTTTCCCCCCAGTCCTCTCTTTGTATCCCAGAAGCTTTCACAAGCCCATGCGGTTCTTAAAAAAGTCTTTCAGGAAAGCTTTGTTACTTTTGTTCAGCATTTTAAAAGACATTTAAGCAAGCCATTGATCTGGCCGCTCGCGTGTGACTGATGGAATGACACCTGAGCCAGGTGCAACGATCCAAATTTGGGCGGCGGTGCTACAAGGACTTAGCGCCATCTCGTGTTCAGATTTTAAATCACACACGAGTCATCCTAAGAGTTTTTGGGATGAGCGGTTTTGGCCCCCAGGAAAACACTACCTCCATGTGTTGAGGCATTTTATAAATTTTGGGGGTAGCAAGCCTACCATAGCAAATTGAAAGCTAATGGAGGACAGCTCCTCCTGTGTCTCCTCAGGCAGACACAGCTGTTTATAATGTTTCATTTGCTCTCACCATCAGGCAAAGGCCTTCTAATTGTAGCCTGGAAAATAGAGCTTATACTGTACATCACTGCATGAATGTATGTAGAGAATGCAGTCCCATTATAAGCTGCTATTCCACCTACTTTGGTGAGGCAATGTGGAGTTGTAGGACTTGTTTCAGTCAGACTGAACTCACGACATTAGGGAATTTGACATTTGTCTAAATTTGTTGCATTAAAAAGTTATGGGGTAAAAAAACCCCACATGCTAGAAAGTATTGTGAATTACACAAGATGTTATTAAGCAATTTCTTGACTGAGAAGATATCCATTGTTCTATTATCTCTTCATGAACTCTTCCGGCCAGCATTTGGGTTTGATTCAACTAAGACTTTTTCTTTTTTTGATAAGATAGTTCTTACTTAAAAAAAAATAAACCATGAAATCCTGTACCTTCAAACATAGGAAAGAATGTAACAGCAGAAAAATTCCAAGTTCATCTTACCTGCAAGCTTTGAGGCAGAAGACAGGGGTCTCTGTCCACTGTTTTTTCCAGACAGTGTTCTTGGTTACTTCTGTCTGTGATTGGGATGGTTGCTATCACACAGTTCTTTTCCTCACAATCATGTGTACACACACAGTAAGTCATGCCTTCACCTCTGCTCTGGAGGCAGACGTTGGGCAGCTCTGGCTGATG